AAATCCATAGATACCTAGGTATATATTATAATACTACTTTTGTATCAACGATACCCTTGTATACAATCTGTTCATTGCAGGGCATCGGGCAATAATGAAATGAGATAACTATACCGAAATAATGCATAACTTTATATTAAAATTATGTATAACAAAATAAAGTACCTTGGTATTATTTTAATTATTTTTTTTAAATTTATTTATTTGATTATCGATTAAGAATATTTAAGATGGTGTTTAAATATTAGATAGAAGCACATGCATATTTTTACTAAGATATATTTCTTTATGAACTATTAAATAAATGTGATTAGGTACTGCTTTTTAAAGTTAAAATTAAGTTAAACAGTGTACACATTAATTTTCCGTGCCGACCATGTCGGGCGACAGCTAGTTTGTAAAATTCCAAGTCAAAAGGTATCTCCGAATACGAAACTAATAATTAATTACAAATTTGTTATTTGTTATAATTAATTAATTATCTACGGCAAAAGCCACCAATATTATTTTGAAGCTTTTTTTACCCATAGTTAAAAAAACTAAAAAGATTGAAAATTTCAAATGCTTATAAATAACTTAAAAACATTCAAAATATTTTGAAAATGTTATCATGTATAGAAAATGCCAGTATAAACATTCAGTGAAAATTTCATGTGCCTACGGTATATTATACCAATATCTAAAATTGATTATTAAATATTAACATGTCCAAATCGGTAGTAATAACCCTTATATAGCTTATTTTATTCATCCATTTAAGGTAGCTAACACATGCATTTTACTATCGCAAATAATATTTTTTTAGGTTGTTTACAAGGCTGCCCTAAAAATATAGTGATTTTATATTACTATTTTGATTAGTAAAAATGTTACATAATATTACGGCGTTTTACGTCGTACGGAACAACTAGTATAATATTATAATATGACAAATGACCATGGTGCAGAAATACGAAACATTTTTAAATGCATTTTTTTACAAAAGTAAACAGTTTTATTTTTCTATTGCTTAGCGAAACTTAGGGTCAGTAAGAAAAAAGATCACTTGACCGTTCGTTTGAGCAGTTTCCCGTCCGTCCGTTATTCGTTCCGGTCGGCGTAATGTAARATCTTGTTGGAAAAATGCAGTGATGTTGCCTGTCTTGAAGCAAAATACAATAATCTTTACAACATCTCTAAGTTGATAAGCGTTATAGGGCAGACAGATTCGCTCGTGGTGAACATATTACATAGGGAGGTACTGTCACCGTGTGCATACATTTTAATAATTTAATATGCGCGATAATAATATCATCACAGATTAAATAATTTATTTGACCTATGATATTATACATATTTATCGTATACCACATACCACGTGTATATACCGCATACCACCACACACTAGTTGTGATGCCCCCCCCCCTCATAACCTTATATCCATTTTTATAAGCTTACTAACGTAATAGTATGCCAGAATGTTTTTTCTTACTGAATGGTATTATTTAATGGTTTCGTTCGTTCGGAAATTTATTATTTAACTTAATAAATCAAACAGCTTTCAGAAAATCAAATAGATATGAATTATGAAAATGTCAAATGCAAATAATAGTCATAATTACAATTAAATCATCCATAAATTTAAAATTATTAATACATACAATTTTTCCTGTAATATCTAAATATATACATTTTTGTGAGACATATATATTATACGTAATATTTTAATTCAAATATTTTATATTATATTTTTGATTTTATTCTGAAAAAAATTCAAATTTTACCAATAAACAATGTTTAAACAAAATTACATGTATTTTATTATTTTCATTTTAAATGGACATTAAAAAATAAAGTTTTTTTTACACAATAATAAAATAATAATAAATTATCAATCATTTCAAGTAAACATAAATAATGTTTAATAAAAACCAATGAAAATGTACAAACAAAAATAAATAAACACTTACAAAACTTAACGATTTAACATTTAAATGTTACATCATTTAATATAGTTTATAAAATTTGTCATAATTATATATATAATATATAATTATGCAGGGTAAAAAATAAAATATTTGTGTCTTTTTGGATGCACAAATTCAGTAATTTTATATACTAATTTTAAATACATTGTATAATAGGTTTTCATAAAATAAATTGTTACTTCGGTATATAGTGTGCATGGATACATTATTTTTTAGTCTTATGCGGTAAGATAAATTATTAAATAGAAGCATAAATTATAACTGTCTAATAATACGGTACTGTACATAACTTAAATCACAGTGCTGAATGTTATTATAATCTACTTAATTATAGTTATAAGTATAGAATTTTTAATTTTGACATTTTCAATGTATTAAAATAATATGTTATCGTAGTATAACAACACTGGTATTTTGTGTGTGGATACGACGTTTGTACTTGTGAAATTCTTAACGTAAGATTATTTGATCATTTCAATGAGCACTTTGAAAACATTTCACTTATCATACGTATAATGTATATGTATATAAAAAAAAAGAAATTAAAATTAATGTACTTTCAGTACTAGACAATGTAAAAAAAAAAAATATTCAAGCTCGTATATGGACTTAAAATATAATAATAATAATGTATATCAATCAGGAACATTTTATTGTAAAAAAAAAAAAAAAAACAGCAATAGCATCCAAGCGCCCATATTTGTTTTCAAGTTGACAGGTAACTTAAGTAGTTTTATACTTTATATTGTCAAGTGTATATATAAATATTATAATAATAAAAATAAAAATTATGATTAATAATAATAATAATAATAATAATATATACAAAACGCATTGGTTGATGAATACTGCAACTCTGGAGATGGATGACGGGGCGCGTAAGGGGGGGGGAGGGATGGAAACATCATAAGACGTACATATTATCATCAAATATTAATTCAGAAGGGGAAGGCCGAGAACACTAAGTCGTATGTATCAGACGTAAGACTCCTCGTCTGCGTACGTCCTGGTGACGACGAATCGCTGCTGCTGTGCCTGACTGCACTCGCCCAGGTAATACGAGGTGATTGGCGCACGGCGGTTGGCCGGTGGCGGTGGCCGATAGGGCGGGGGCGGTGGCAAGGACCGGGACCTGGCCGCGGCTACAGCKGCTTTCTCCTCCTTGCGCTTCAACCGGCCGCGGAGCCTGACAGTGCCGTCTGTGTGCGCGACCGGCGACTGGAGCGGCTGATGCTGCCTGAGCTTAAGAGAGTCGGCAGCGACCTCATTTCCGCGGCTGTTGCTCCGGGAAACGTGCGGCGTACAGTCTTCGTCGGACAGCGTGCTAGAGTCTTCTTCGTTTTCGTCGTCGCAACAGTTCTCCGCCGGAGTAGTGGCCGCAGCATTTGTGGTTGTAGTGGCCGTTGTGGTGGTGGTGCCCGTAGTGGCCGCTGTCAACTGTTGCTGGTGTTGCTGTTGCTGGTGATGGTGCTGCTGTTGCTGTAGATATCGCCTACGGTCGACCACCTCGGCCGACCTCCTTACGACCACCACTGGCGAGGCTGTCTGCAACTCGTCCTTGCGGTACGTCACCGGCTGCAATACTGGTTTGATGGTCAGTTCCGTGCTGTAGTTGTTCGGGTGCAGCGATTCGACAACCACTTCCGACTTGACCACTACATCGTAGTAATCTGAGGGAGTCATTTTCCGGTATTGGTCCTGTTGAGGGGTTAGGGATATCCGGTTGTTGTTGTTGTTGCTGTTGCCGGACATTTGGACGGGCTTGCTGCGACGGGGTGGTGTAGGCGGCGGGACGCTACCATCCAATACGGAATCTTCGGAAGCGCTCCGACGGACCGCTTCCTTGCTGGCCGCTGCTGTCAGACGCTTGGATCGCTGCCGGAACCAGGCCTGCCGCTGGAAGTTGGCGTTTTTCCGCTCCTCCCAACCCGGGTATACGCGTACGTACTCGCCCGGCATCGATGGCACGGCAGTGGCGGACACTGCGGTCTTGGCCGAGTGCGACTGATCAAACGCCGGGTCATATCCGCTTGAGCTGGTTGACCCACTCTCCTCCTCGTCTGGCGTATACAGCTGCGAGTCGGACATCGTCAGTCCAGAGTCCCGGCTCAACGAAATCTGATCTTTCCTGGGGGGCGGGCTCACTTCCAGGCTGTCGATAGAACTGTCGTCTCGCCTCATAGCTATAATCAGACACAATACAATTATATTTAAAATAAAAAGTTATCCACAGATTTTCAATACGAATTTTCCCCAGGTCAGTATTCTAAATTAATGTTCAATTTTCATATTTTATGTCTTAATTTTAATACTGAGGTTATACAGAACTTGATAAGGTCAAGTCTGCAAGTATTTTGTAATATATGCCTTTGTAATATGTGCTTAAATTATTTTAAATAATGCTGACCTACTCGTGTGATAAATATTGGGACGATTTTAATGTGTCTTTTTTTAAATTTAACGCCTTAGCTAAGATATGTTATAAATCGTGTTTACTCGTTATAAATTATATTTTGTTTTATGTGACAGATTATAAGCGATCTTAACGGTTAGGTTAACCTTAAATTTATTTATTAGTTTTTTTTTGTTTTGTTTTAAGTAAATGTATATATTGTACTTACTACTTAGTAATAAAAAAAAAAAAATATGAAAAATATCTAGTTTATATTTTGGTGTTCGTTTCATTTTCGTCGGCTTTTGGAAAATCGACGAAAAAGAAAACACGACGATATCTATATTATATTGAACTTTAGAAGGTATAATATATTATACTATTAAACATTATTATTCTATAGAATAGTAAGTATGAATATTAAAAAAAAAAAAATAGGTCAAATACACGCCCCCTGAAGTGCCTGTCGTGGTCAGTAATTGATAGTTATTGGCATGTTTGTAGCACACTTACAGTCAGATTCTTCGGTGCCGGAATCCCGTGGGTCACCCAGGAGGTTCGGCACGTGTGGACCACACAGCAGCTCGCAGTGAGTGATGAGTATTTCGACCAGTGCGGGCACGGTGCGCAAGTCTTCGGTCGGACACATGGCCGGCGAATCGGACCACAGCAGGGACGGTCCAACACACACGCCCAGGTTGGCGGCCGACATGAGGTTGTGCGTGGATCGTCGAGATATATGGTAGAGGACGCACAGGAAGTGGCACAGTAGATGATAGTTGGGTTTGGGCAACTGGTCGATAATCCTGCATAGGAGAAAAAAATGAAAATCATTATAAATCATTCTACCCGTTTGGTAACAATAAGGCAACGACGGCCGGCGTCATAATAATAATAATAATAATATAGTTCCGTTAAATTTTAACATTAACACACTCACGTTTTGATTCTAAATAATTTTGTGGGCAGGTTGGAACAGTCAAGCGCTGATCGCCATTTCGGAAACAGGCTGGTACACAGCAAAGGGTCGGGCAGCGAGCGCAGCATGTCTTTGAAAAGAGCCGCGGTGACCAGCACAGGAACGTTCTCTAGACAAACGTCCTCACAAACATCCATTTTCTCGCGAAGTTCGCGGACTAAACGAGCGTTGGCAGACTTTCTAAATATACCCTGTGTGAACGGTCCTTTGGAGAAAATTTGGTGTAGCATGCCCTGTAAAATATTAAAATAGAAAATATAATACGATTGTAACAATCGGCTATACTGATATTGGATAATAATTATTAAGTAGGTACCTGTACTTTAAGAGATATTATTATTATTATTATTATTAATATTTATTTATTTTAAAGCCTGCGATATTTAACAAGATCTAGTATACACACAATTTATTATGTAATACTGTATTGAACAAATTCTTATTATACAGTGTATCAATATTTATATTGAACCACTCCTTTCATCGGCATAATATTATATTAAATTATTTTATAGGTATAACAACCGGTTTAAATTATTTTGTTTATTAGAAATGAACATTTGGTAAAAATAGTTATATTGTTCATCKTTTATCGTTATTTAATGTTATTATTACGTATCAAATGAAAAAAAAAACAATTAAGGATTGATCGTTAAAATATTTAGTTAGTTAAGTACCATTTTAAACTCAATAGTCAAAAGTAATATTTAAAATTCAAACGAATAATTTTTGATAACAATTTGTATAAATTAAGAAAAAATTAAACTTCCTAAATTGATATTTTATTTGACGTCGATATTAACCAAATATGATTTGTAGGTACAAAATAATTATTTTATGTCAACATAAATTAAAACACATTTTAAAAATAAAGTACTGTAATCTAACAATTAGTATTATACTATTAATATTATAATATGTTGTAATAAATTGTGTGAGAAAATGTGTTTATAAACATTTCATCAACAATCCAATTAAGTAAACTTGATTTACACTCAATTCAAACTCCTAAAAATATTTAAAACACAAATCACTATCAGTTTATAAAATTTATATACTAACCATCACTGGTTTAGGAAGGTTTTCTCCATCGCAAATTCTATTCAATGGTACACCGAACAAATTGCCTCCATTTTCTTTGGTTGGAGTTTTCTTAAACACCTGTCCAATTTTCATGCGACTAGAAGACTTTTTTGGCGTCTTTTTGTTCGTTTCGTTTTCTTGAGCTTTGACACTTCTGGAAAATACCAAATATAACAATTATTAAGCAATTTTAATATCGTGAGATTTATTATTTTATATTTCGATTTGAGAGAAGAAAAACACAGAACAATTGCCGCAGCTAGTAATTAGGTACAGCGATTAGTTTTTTTATTGGGTAGACATTAGCCCCGACGTCAGTAAACAAATGTCAGCTTATCAATATTGATTTTTGATTATGTACTGAATACACGATCATTAGAAGGAAAAAAACAAATGTGTTCACCTGCGTTGGGTACAGATCGTTAACATTGTTTTATCATCAGTTACGGAGAAAAATATTGTCACAAACCAAGATTAAAATGAAATAATAAAAAAACAAGTATATAAAAATCGTAGGTAGCACAGAAAAAAAACTAATATTGATCGACAAAAAAAAAACCGTAGACTTGCGTTATAATTTATAATAACATTAATAACGCAATTCCCACACGTGCGAATGAGGTAGGTTCTGCACGCGCATTATAAGATCGAACTTTGTTCGCCGACTCAACCATTATGCCGTTTGCTATCACGGTCGGTAACATTATTATATGATGATATTATCAATTATGTGATAAGTGTAGCCGGTGTATATTTGTTTATTTTTAAAATCGAGGGATTTCTCACGTTACGTAATTTAAAGTGACGATAATAAAATAATAATATGTTTAGACAGGTAAAAATAAAATAAAGATAGTGGTGCAGGTGGATAGTTTTGTGGACAGACGGTCAGATGTTTCAGGTACAGTGCAGCATAATGCAACACTAAACAATAAAACTGTGTAATATTTGGACAGTCGTGTGCATATTAACATTTCCGACGACATACCTCAAAATGAAATGACACCTGGCCAACGGGTCGTGCACGTTGTTGCAGTGGTCCAAGTCAAACCCTTCTTCAGCGCTAAGTCCGTCCCGCAGGCAACTCAACTTAACGGAATATGGTTTCTCGTGACCATACAGTGGATATGGCGGATCTTCACGTGGCGTCTTGGCCCACAGTTGATACTGGCTCGGATCCGCATCTCTCATTTCCAAGTGATCTAATGCAATTTTTACGCAGTCTTTAGCGCTCTCGTCCGGTCCGATGGCAAACGTCTTGCACTATACATATTATACATACACAAACACACATAAATATATAAATTATATATTTAGGATGCCAAGTAAGATCGAGTAGATCATGGGGGGCTGGAAATCTATTTGTCAATATTTTTATAAAGAAAATGAAGCAAGTAATATTTATATTTATATTTGATAAAATATGAATGTTTATTCACGATTTATTGTTAAAAAATTATTATTTTCTGATTATTAAAACAATAAATACTTTTGAGAATAAAGTACTGTATAGATACTTATAAAATTACTTTAGGTAAAAAATAAAAATTACAAAATATATCATAATCCAAGTAACAATTATATCATAAAATATAACTTTTCAAATTTATTTCCTAGTTAAAATAAATAAAAAAATTTTTAAAATGTTAATTTACAACTTTAAAATGTATGAATTGTGCAATTATTATTTTATTGTAGAGTTGTAGATTAAAAGTGAATTATTTGATGAATTGACAAAAAAAAAAAACTCATTTACTAATATTTAGGTAGGTATACGATTGTTAACATTTTAAAAATGTTTTTAATCATTGAATCTAACTACAATCTCATCTTTAAACTAAATGTTAAATGAAATTAGCCTCATCCCTATCCTCATTACAAAATTATTTGAGCACCACTGGTTACCAAGTGCGATTACGTCTGTTTAGACGACGTATCATCATGCAGTTGAACTGCTCAACAACTACAGCGAGCCGGGTAGTATTATCGTATAATATACGATATCATGATAAAAGTAACAAATAACATTGATAACACGTTATCTACAAATTTAATATTTTAACGGTAAAACGTGAACTCCGATTTACGGTAATAAAGTATTATATACACGAACGAAAACTCTGGATATCAGATAACTCTGTACATCAATTTATGTCTGTATATACTTTTAAATATATTATATTAGGGTAAAGGGTATAGGATCATATAGTATAACAGTAGAAACTCACGTATTCTATTCCAGTGTTGAGATCTTGGTAAAACACTTGGACGTTGGTTGTCGGAGGGTCCTTGCGAATTTCTTCTTGCGATTCTTCTGCTAATTTCGACCACCACAAATTTCTGGTGGCTTGGGTGCTGTTCAAATACATGAAATAATAGAAAATTATTATCATCGTTATATTACTAGATGTGACGAGTAAACAAATGTATATTGTCTACAATTATCTGCCATAACAGGTGTCAGCAATGTTCATTATTTTATTGTATATGACAACGATCCAAGATTCATATAATATATATTATATATATATATATATATCCTGTACTATAACTAGTTATAAACTGTATACCTAGTTTCAGAAGCCCATTCTATTGATGAGGAGATACTCGTATTATATAATAAAGCACATAGTCCGACAAATATTTATAATTTTTATCCTAACTTGATAAGCAACACCAACGTGCGTTCCGGGAATTTTATAGGCGCCAGGCGCTCAAGAAATCTATTTTCATTGCTCATAATATATATATTTTTAAGACCCCATATTATATTATATACAGGTATCTAATGAACGTTATTTTAGATAGATAAAAGTATTAAAATGTACAGAGATTAAACATTTTATGTGTGCATACTGCATACAATAAATAATTGAATTGCTTATTTTAATCAGCATTTTTTTTTTAAAGAAAATTTTATTATTTTAAATCTTAGCATACATAAATAATTTATATAAATAAAATCCGTTTGCTCAAATTCAGCATGCTTTAATAACAACAACGTTAAATACTTAAAAAATCAATATAAATTAATAGTAAATTATTATCGTATCAAATTATACCAACTACTAATTAAATTCATTACGAATGAATGTGTACGCATATTTTTATCAAATTATTAAGCCTTTTTTTAAATAAGCTATTATACATTCTTTCGACATAAGTCATAACGTTATAATAGACATTTTATTTGTATAAATAAAAAATGTAAAAACATTAATAGTACCTATTAGGTGATCTACTAAAAATTATTTATTTAAATGTAATTATTATTAGTTATTTGATGAACAAAAATGTACTTACGAATTAGTTTCTCCACAACGCTTTGTGTATTTAAAACTACCATTACTATTCCAACCACTTTCTACACCAGGAAGTAAAAATTTGAAGCGAACTTTTTCATTGTATCTTAAATTAAAATCAAATAAAGCGAAAAACTTTTTTATGTACCGAAACATAATTTTTATACTGTGACTGTATAATGCATCAGTTGGATAATGGATTTGATTATCATATTTTCTCATAAAATTGTAATCAAGCATTGAAACACGTTAAACTTCTTTGAACGTATTCGGAACACTGAGCGTTCAAACTTCAAACTAGATACAGTACCTATTATATTGTTTGAGCAAACAATATGTGATAATTATACAAAAAGAATATAATAGATAACGATATAAAAGAGGGGGCTTTCATGTAATTATGTTTTTGATAATTTATAGCAAAAATATTTTAATAAAATATATATGTACCTAATAAATTAAATTTATTGTTATTCGGCTACATACTACAGAGTGATAAGTGTTTTATTTATATTAATGTGTTTTTAAGAAAAACACGTTGATAAATATGTAATATTATAAGAATCAAACATTTTTATTATTTGACTGTACATTAAGATTGAGTACATGAATGATTTATGAAGAATATAACGTCGAGATTATTTATATTTTGATCACTGCAACAAATAGTAATGATCTTTAACTTATTATATGCTTAATGCATCTGAAAACATTAATTTTGTCCAATAATTATTTTTGGTAAGTTATTGGTGATTGGTGAGTGGTAAGTCATAACGAATTTAACCTATTTAAAGTACCTATCATCATAGGAATACGTAGTTCGCCTAATTTTATTTCGCTAAATATCAGTGACAACCGGTCTAACATATGTGTAGGTACCTTCCATTATTAATATTCCTGCGCGGSTGCGCAGACATTGATCGCCATCGATAAGCTCGGGCGAGTTATATAGTGACAAATGACCGCTTTTAACTTGTTCGAACAAATGGTCATTATTAGTACCGTATCGACAACGACCACGACATGATATTGATTTCCCACGATCAGAGAAAATTATTATTTTTTTAATTTATGATACCATGCGAGATAAGTGTGTACCTATATAATATATATATTTGTCTTATATTAGCTATAAAATATAATATACTCTGTGAGCTTATCAATGCGGCCCGATTATGTAAACAAATACTCATAAGTACCTATATTTTATAGAAAAAGTAAATATAATATAAAAGTTAACGCAGTTGAAAAATGTAGAACTTAAATATCATGATAAAACATGCCTTATTAGAATACCTATGCGATGAAAGTTTCTAAACATAATAATTACAACGATTATTTTTATTCGTTTCCTGTTATTATTATTTTTTTTTTTAACAATTAAATAAAAAAATGTATGAGTGATGTGGGTACCAACACTTCAAAAGCTCTTGTTCCCTGTGAAAATTTCACATAATTATACATTTATACACCATTATTATTATATATTGCAACTATTTGTCAAGGACGCGACCTTAGTATAGTTAAACACGCAAGAAATGCAAACGACACGGGCGATAATTTTATATTATGTGTTAATTTTGTTGTTGTTGTTGGTTTGACAGAGTTTAGGATGTTTAAAAAGGATTTTTTAAGAATAAAATACGATTTTATTTTGTAATCAGATCTTAATTATGACTTAATTTTTACAATTTTATTTGAAAACTAAACGAAACTTTGTTAACTCTTGATCACTCAGATAGTCAAATAAGAATTTTTTTTATAAATCATGAGGTATTTTAGCTAATGGAAGATGGAACTGCTATAGTAGCAATATGGAATATTATAGTAAAATAGATGTAGGGATGTCCCTATCTAAAGTTTACTAATGACAAAATTTTTGTAACTATAAGATGTTATTGAACATTTTAACAATGAATTCGTTTTAATATTTCACCATCGTTATTTCAATAAATAGGTATCTACCAATATTATAACAACTTGCATTCTGGAAACGTTAAGTGGTTTAGACAAATTATCACTCTTGATCAATGAACTGACGTATTTGTTATAATTATAATCATTATTATAAAAAAATATATTTGTGTCTACGCCATAGGCATGCACACAGTGTGGGCCAGGTGGGCCATGGCCTATCTTGCAAACCATCCTGTACTTGTTATACTCATTGCGAGACATATTGTTAAATTTTAATAATAACATTACAAATTACAATTTTCAATGATAATAATTAACTATAAATACGTCGAAAATTGATTTGATAAAGTATTTTAAAGTACCTTGGTCCACCCTGCCAAAAGGTTCGTGCACGCTTATGACACGTAGTATACATACATACATTTTTCTTTGCAGATCTTTGATGGGTGACAACTTATTATATTACATTAAATTTTTTCAAACGAAATTTAAACTGACAGTACCTATATGAAATTTATGTACCGTAACATTATTGAATTTACTATCACATGTATATATTGTATTAAGTATAATTTACGTGTAGGTACTATATTATATACTTTATAATATGTAGGTATGGGCACCTACTCGATATTTTATTATGACGTCATCCGTGACCTATACACAATTTTATAATACAAATTATTGTTCATCGTATAATGATCACATATAGCTATAGCCTATAAGCATACAATAATATATAGCCGTGGGTATAACAATAGGCCGTTTTTTTGTCTAATTAAGAGCTGCGTTTATGTCGGCAATCTATACGTGTGTAATGTGTATACACTTTACTACATTATATATGTGTACCGTTAGCGAACCTCCTTTTCCGATATACAATACCGTTTGTCCCAGTGAGTTCTGGTGATGAGCATATTATTATGACTATTATATGTCGATGCGCTTATAGAAGAGAACAGATTACATATATTTTGGACCGTTGTCGTACAATGTGGTCGGTTCAAAGACCCTCTTGCACTAATGATGAAAGACCCGAGAGTACGTCCCCCGCTGAGGGACCACATCCCAAGTAAACACAACAGTAAAAAAATCGTGGACAGTTGACGAAGAGACCAGATATAGTATGATGCATACGAAAATAGGTACTAACCTGAACACTGCTACATAGTTTGTGGTCGGCCATCCAATAACGAAAGACGTGTCCGAAGACTTGGGAATTTCGGCAACTTCGTCGATCACCGCAGGCGATTCGTTGAGCCAAATCTCCGATATCCTGACCTTGTCCTTAAGTTTAAAGTTACTTCCGGATTTCGCTTTGGCCACCAGCAAGAGGTCGTTGAATAAAAATAAATGACGTTCCTGACAATGCACACCCTACACCAATTCACAATAGGATAAAATTATTCATTATGATTTTTTTATTACACAAATTTAACTCTCATAATATAATAAGTATGTTTGGGATTATAATAATTGTTATTATTTACATTAACGAATTGGACGGGAGTTTCCATTATGAATTTTCTCGGACTATCGTTTTGAATTTTGTTGGGAGTCGAAGGGGGCGACTCCGATCTCAGCGATTTCGACGATAAAGCTCTCCTTAAAGCAGCTGTACCAGTTCCTCCTCTCTTCCGGATTAATCCTTTCATCTTCTAAGCAATGAGAAAAAAAACATTACAATTATTTATGAAGACTAAAAAAAACTTCCAAAAAAATATGAGTTATAACTTATGGTAATATAAAGAAAACTAACGCATACATTTATGACAGTATGTAGGTAAAACGTTTTATCAGATACAAACATTACACAATTATTAAATTGATAACGTCATTAGTTTAAATATTAAACAGCAAATAGAAAGTTGTTGACAAAAGTGTCATTGTTCTAAAATAAGCGTAAAATATAATATCTTATTTCAATGTTTGTATTGCAAAATTGCTATAAACTTACCATTGTGAGGGCTTCTTTATCGTATAATCTAAGGAAATCGTTTGGGAAAACATCTTGAATTCGCTCCAAATCGCTTTGCTCATGAGTACGTTTTACTGTCTGTAAAAAAAATATATACATTTATGTATATAAACAACGACAAGTATTATTATATTTATTGAACTTTTATCCCAAACAACATATTTGATTCATATAGGATATATAAACAATGACATGTTTTTTTTTTTTTTTAATACGAATTTATTTAAAAGTGAAATTAACAAAATGTACGCATTTCAATCGCGATTGTCACAGTCCAGTTAAATAGTGCAAGTATCCCTGTATACATAAATACATAATATTATATTGCTAGGAGCAAACTTTCATATTATGTAGATGCATAATTTAAAGGTGTAWAAAATACAATTAATATACTGTAATAACATACAGTACGGGTGCCCGCTTGATGATTTTTTAGCTAAAAGCCGACGGTCATATATCTAGTGCCGAAAACTACTTAGGCTACAATAACCTGTATTGATAATAATTTTTCATTAACAATGTGCACGCGTCACACTCTAAAGAAACATATAGCTGGTATCTCTTATATTACAATATTGTGCATTTGTAATATTTTCGTTTTAAGTATATAGAAATAGTAGAAATTGGAGAGCGTCAAGACAACCTGACAACTCTGCTTTCAAGTTTTATCGTYGTAATACATGCACTTGATATTATAATTTTTTTATACATGCAATTCATTGTGTGCAAATAATAGTAAATACAAAACAAACGCACGCAAGATATTAATACCGTTTGTCATAGATATTTTACGTAAGAGATAAATATTACAAACGAAGATTRTGATAACACGCGTGCATGTTATATTATATATGTAATAGAATTTATATATATACATATTATATATATGACATGATTTGTATATATTATACATAAACTCAAGTAATATAATATTGGAAATATTACACGGTCTTGCAGTGTTTTCTTGGCGATTTAGTAGTGTCAATAAATATTATGAATCGGACGGGACACGAATAAAATTAAATAAAAAAATAATTAAATACACAATATTAATATATTTTGAATATACCTATCTACAACTACAATAAGGTGAACGTTCCGTATATAACTTTTAACAGTGATGTAATAAATTATACGGCATCATTTAAACAGATAAATTATAATTATAATAATATTATCATTTATAACAAACGAATAATATTTATTCACGTGGCGTATCACCTTAATATTAAAGTGTAGGCAAACGTTAAAACAGGATTACAAATCGTCTTTTAATCGGGAAAAAAGTGTTCAATAGAGTAATTTTCTAAAAATCGTTAATTCATTAAAAAATTATGCATATATATTCGCGCTGCAGTCTAATCTCAACGCCTCTTCGCAGATATGAATTGCAAACACACGCGGGGGCACAAGACCAATATGGTCATTCTACCATTTCACTGGACCGGTAAGCGCACCGGTGTCTCTCCTTGGCACATTTAGCCCCCGTACAAATCCGTTACATAGGTAGGTCGTAGGTACACTACACGTATTATATATTATTAATATATTTTTTAGCGCGCTCGTGTGTGTGTGTGTGTGTGTGTGTGTGTACATAAGTGTATTATATATGCAGCCGGTCTAGTGCGATTTATCGTATCGGTTTTGGGTGTGGTTTTGGCCACGGTGATCGGTGTCATTCACACCTATATAAAGTCGTATACAACTACGGTCGTTTGGCGAGCGAGCGGCGTTTTAATGATAATTAATTATATTATATTGTTTAAATTGGAGCGATGGCGAAACCTATAGGAATACATACACGTATATACACACTCATAATATAATATAAGCACGTATACTTATATATCGTAGATACTATTATACTACGGCGAACACCACCGCTATTCATCAATGAAGATTTTAAAAAGTAAACGATATATTATATTTTAWACGCGGTTTGTACACTGCAGATCCGTTTCGAACACGCTCAGACAGCTCCCATTGTGGTGGATATCGAAAAAATGAAATAGGTACAAGTGGGTCGTTTTTATCAAAGAAACGCAAGCGTATATTATTATATATCGGTTCAAAGGTCCACACAATGAGCGGCAATTATGTATACGATCAAAAAAAAAATTATATATATTATATATATATAGTTTATATTATTATTTATAATATAGTAGGCGAGAGAAAAGTGATATGCTCCTTTGTGCTATGCTGAATCGACCGAAGAAAGTGGGTCTCCCCCGTACGTATCGGTATACAGATTATAATAATATGTGCGATGTGGACAATAACCAATGCAGTTTGTTTATCAACGAGACCGAATCATTGGCGGCAGTGGTTGTACGACATTCGACAAAAACGTAATCGGGATTACGCCTACGGACGAGGGCGAAGAATAAGAGGAAAAAAAATACTCGAAATAATAACAATGATAAAAACTCACTTGTTTGACGGCGCTGTTCGCCATGCACAGATCGTGGTATTCGGCGCCTCTTCCATGTTCCGGTCTGGTCTCGTCCAATAAACTTTGGAAATACGTTTCGTATTGAGTCAGTCTCTGTACCTGCATTCAACAAAAACATAAATGTATTAATATAACGATGACCTTCGTGCCTTATTATATTAATATATATAGGTACATAATACGTTTGAATGTAGGTGATCATAGACAACCCAGCTACCTATATGATGATATATCGTCATATCGACCATGAACTACGTAGTAGTGTTATTATTGTTAACATTATTTTTATTATTACAGTATATATATATCGTCCATYGATGGTGTAAATTGGAAATTGTATAATAATAAGAAGACGTSCCAAACGGTGAAAAACATTATAATTGACTACACGGGCATTTGCATAATGCAAAACAAGAACTAGGTATTATAATTACTTCTGAAGGTTAAATCGTCCGCGTTATTTATTATTTTAACACTATTATTATAAATTTTTTTTCGTTGATAAATCACACAATTGACAATTYRTTTTCTTTATGTTGAACTGTTATTATAGCCGCAGTTATACATTATATTATTATAGTAGTATGTACTATATAATATGTTCAGTGTTTGTAACGTGCGCGCCATTCTMACATCATGCACGCGCAATCTACCGTATTGCAAGGTACCCTATAAACTGGTATAATACTATAATTCACAAACGGACGCGAGTAATTTTAACACAATGCAATAAAATGCAATTCATACGATTAGACGGATGCTGTTTGTCTACTTTGAATGTTTGTGGCAAGCGTGATATAATATTACACTACTGTTATATATATGCTGCCAGTTAGAAGGTAGGTATAGTGTATACGTCGTACTGGCAGGTTAACGACTATCGTTGTATTATTGAAAAAGAAGCGTATATTCAGTTATAACTGATAACATATATGTATCTTCTTAGGTACGTCGTAATTGGCACTTCGGTAGTATATACGTACATCATACATGCGATGTAAATAATAAGATTATAAACACGCCTATGAAAGTATATGGTATAAGTTTAATTGTAAAACTACAAATACATACCTATTGACTATGTAGGTACTTGTAATATGAAAATAAATGTTCATATTATACCAATTATTTAAAGTCTTAACGATATAGGATTAACATTACCTTGCAAATGGTAAGTTATAGCATTATGCGATGTATAAAAAAAATGGGTACACAATGACCCTTTAATTTGGTACTAGACATTCTTTTTAAGTTAAACTCAACATTTTTTAATCAAAAATAATCCTTTTACTATCGAAATATAAGTGTAATTAAGGGCTAAAAATAAGAAGTATAAGTATAATCATTCTGAAAACTAAAAACCTAAAATGTAATCAACCCCAAGATTGMGATACATTTTATAGTAAGTATTCATCGCCTGGTAAAATTTATAAATTGTAGAACAATGTATTTAGTGTTTTTCTGTTCAAGAATCATACTGGATATTCAATTTTTAAACCAATCAAAATCAAAGTTAACTAATCCCATATATTAATTTTCGAAAAAAAATCAATCAAAAATGTCAACATAAAATAATATGGTGTCAATTTATATAATCGATAACAATTATATAAAATCGATATAATTTGTATAATATAATAACGTATAATAAAGAGTTTTACATTTTCCTTATATGAACTGTTATAGGGTTGTGGATAAGAACTTCCCTATCTCATGATAAAAATATCGCTGTATAAATAACACACGGTTACTCATCTGGGATTTTTTTTTAAACACGCAAGTTTCATGAATAATTAGTATTAGTTTTTTTTTTTTATATTAACCATGTAGTTAATGCCAAAAACAATTAATATAAGAAAAAAAAAATATTATATTCATACACAATCTCGCAGTTACAGAAAATAAACATTTATCTGATTTTAAACGGTTAGCTTAGCTGCGAGTTAGTGCATATCACATTATAAACGTTATATATTATAACWCTCATCRTTTACGTGCGACATTATCGCGCATAAAATGTATATACATATTAYATACCCGAAAAACCTGTAGAATTCTCGCACGAGCGTTCTCGGAAATCTGCAAGATACCTAACCTCTTCTGTATACGAATTATATACAAATGAACACTATATACACGACATATACATAGTAACGCGATACATCCGACAAGCTTCCTGCTGGGACACGGCGGGCGCGTCGAGAAACGTGACACTCGAATATATAGTCCCTGGGTTTTTGTGTAGGTACATCCTGTCGAATGATTTTCATTTAACCTCCTGGCCCGGCCTTCGCGTATCGCCATCGTCCGACACACCGCTTACATTATTATTACTAACCTAACATATTATTAGAAACACTTATGGGCTATGGCCTTATCACTGTTTTAACGTATACAGCATACACAACATGKAATGTTATTATTTTTTACACTCGCACGCTTGGCAATTTCGTTTTCAACGCGATGAGCACAATATTTGATTCAATGTAATATTATTATATATAACATATACATCTAAACTTCGAATACGACGATACATTATAATATACATAAAACAATGATAATCGTGTCGATTTCGTCAATTGTTTTGCGAAGAKCATGTTATTCATGCACCATATCTACGCCTAGAAAACAATGATAATAATATAATAGACATTCACCTGACGATTTCGTTTTATCATTTTTTACACATTGCAATTACATTGGGGGTTGCGAGACTTTTTCTGTATACCAGGTCTGAACTCCGGCTAACTCTATATATCTTTCCATATTTACAATATTTGATGAATCCATGCATGGAGTATCCATAAAACAAATATTAAGTATCTTATTGCCCTTGAACCGTATGATGAACATATTATATCCTATAACTTTTTTAAAACATATTTTCTTGCGTAATCAACACCGCAAAAATGTCTAGTAATTTTTCAAGGTGATCTTCCTCGACCCTCTTCCTAGCTCACACCAGTAAAATTACTTATAATTATCGCAATTAACAGATTTCAGAGAAAAAACAGCGATCTAGTTTGAAAAAATATACCCCCTTTGTTTTTTTAGCGCATACTCTTTTATCATCCCGACAACTATTAAATCAAAAAGAGTACACCCATTTTAAGCCCCGTCTAGTTTTTAAGTGATTAGTAGTTAACTATAAACTTTAATATGATACACAGATCCTGGCACTGATCTATATACTTTTATATCTAAATCGTTTWATWAAATATGCTAACTGCAGTTCATTCAGTTACACTAACTGAACACCCACAAACAATGCAATTTTTTGATATAGATCTATAATAACCTTCAAAGTATTATTATTAATTATTATGCTTGTAATCGACATGAGTTCTTATATAGAATGACAACGTCGTGAAGTTTAATATACCTTTCAGTGTATTTTATTTTCTCAAAATTAAATTCATGCTATAAACGTAAATATCACTGTAATTACCTATTTGAAATTTATAAAATTGTGTACGCTTAACGCTGGAATACTTTATCGTGTCCCTACGTTATAATATATAATAATATATAGTTGTGTATGCAACTGGTTATAGAGGTTATAAGTTATATTTTTTATTTCTACAAAAAGTAGGTATTTAGTTATTTACATATAATTTTGTCACAAAACCATAATGTTCTTGTACACGAGTTCTTAGTTAAATTAATTATTCATAATCATGCATTATTCAAAATTGTTAATACGTTTAAATAAAAAATAATGTGTTAATTTAATAGTAATAGATACTATTCCGATAAATACGTTACATTTTAGTTCTTACACATAAATAATAGTTTAATAATATATAATTTAAAATTTTACTTTTATGTTTTAATAGTTTTATTACGACTTTATACTCATAAATATGTACACTGAAAGTGTCAATGATACCTAGTGCATTTACGTATATATATATTATATATTATAATATGTAGATATATATATATAAAGGCTATGTATAATGTAATAAAACGATTACATACTTAAAATACATTTAAACTACTCATTTAAATAAAACAATTTATATACTTTGCCTACACACCCGTTAATTAAATATTATTTTGACGGTTATCCAATAAGTGTTATCAGTTGTATGTAAAGTACAAGTATGAAAAAACCAACAAGGTGGRTATTATTATTTATTATTCAATAATTTAAATTCTAGGCTGTAATGTTGGTACCTGTGTGCAACATTACGCTATAATTGATTTGTATTCGTATCCACATAATATATCAATATAATATGTATACTTGTTATCTAATTATGTATAGCACATTAGAAAAAAAGTTGTTAGCTGTACTCTAAAATATAGACCGAATATTCTGACTACAATGCACACCGGATAAAACGAAAATCAAAGACGTTTAAAGAGAACCTACATCAATTTCGGCTACGATTAAAAGCATTGATCCTCCACACCAAGTAAAAAAAAACAATGTGCCTACAATTATTCCAATTCATATTATTGGTCATTGTTAAAGATTTAATTCGAAAATAACATTTAGGGGTGGGCCGCGGCCTAGATGTCCCACAACAGTGTGCGCCACTGTAGACTTCAGTTATATCAATCATTAAAGTCAATAGCGCGTGTCGCGTCTATTTGGTGATAATATCCTGCTTGGCGATGAAGTATAGAAGACTTCATACGTATATAATCCTTTCATAGGATATTATCGTGTCGTCTCGRCTGTGTAATTAACCATGGAGGCGGTTCCTTATAGACAGTATAATTTATATTAGATTTATAAACCGGTAGACCCCAATATATCGTCGAAGAAAAAACAAAAGAATCGTTGATCATGGGGGAGTGGACAAAATATCAAAATAATTAGCTCTTCTTCCGCATCACCACTGGTCGTAGATTAGGCATCAATAATTGTCTTCGTTTCTGGTAGTAATTTTATATATAACTAATACCACCCCCCGCCAACACGCCCCGCCATGACCGACTGGGGGATGACATTGAAAGGTCACATTTTTGCATACTTTAAATACATATAATAAGCTGCAGAGGTATATATAACGGTTTCCAGTATTATATATTCATACCTAAACAAATATATATATATATTTATGTATATTATATATATACGCACG